AATCATTCGAATTTCTTCTTCCATGACTTTCTTCCAACATCATGCTTTATTGGTTCATCATAATTTTCTGGCTCAACACCGCCAAAATTACATCTTTGATAAATGTCACTCAACATTTTTGTTCCTCTTGGAGGCAGTTCTTCATTATCTGAATCTGGAATTTCTCCCCCTTGAGAGACATCTTCATCTTTCTCATCCTCTTCTTGATTTGAAGATATGATAGCAGTATTTTCTATCTTTTTATCCTCCCAATTCCATGTTTTTTCATAAAAAATGACATCTCTACTAACAGTTTGTTAGTTTTGACATCGAGAAGCCTATATCCTTTTGTCACATCACTATAACCAAGAAAGACATATTTTTGACTTTTTTCATCCAATTTTGTTCTTTTCTCAGCAGGTACATGAGCATAAAAAATACACAAAAAAATTTTAAAATGACTTACAGAAGGTTTAATTCCACTCCAAGCTTCAACTGGTGTCTTTTCCTTTAGTGCCTTTGTTGGACACCTGTTAAGGATGTGAACTGCTGTATGCACTGCTTCTGCCCAAAAATATTTTGGCAGCCCTTCTCATTCATAATAGTTCTGGCCATTTCAACAATTGTTCTATTTCTTCTTTCAGATACACCATTGTGTTGAGGAGTATACCTTGTTGTAAGTTGCTTCTGAATACCTTCATTTTTGCAATATTCTTCAAATTCTCGACTTGTTTACTCACCTCCTCGATCACTGCGAATGGTTTTGATGCTGCAACTTTTTTGCTTCTCAACAAGGGCTTTAAATTTCTTGAATGTAGCAAATGCTTCTGACTTTTCTTTTAAGAAATAAACCCAAGTCATTCTTGAGAAATCATCAATGAAGATTAGAAAATACCTTTGACTTCCAAAAGATGGAGTCTTCATTGGTCCACATATGTCGGTATGAATTAGTTCCAAAAATATACTTGCTCTACAAGACACCCCTTTTAGAAAAAACTTCCTGTGTTGCGTTCCCATTATACAACTTTCACATGTATCCATCTCAATATGTATCTCAGGAAGGCCTTGCACCATGTCCTTTTGCTTGAGAAGCTTTAAACCATGAAAATTCAAGTGACAAAATCTTTTGTGCCAAAGCCATGAATCATCTACAATTTCATTTTTAATGCATTGTAATGAAATTTCATAGGAATGTTTCTTTTTATCATCTTTACTTCAACAATAACTTAGTTGATTTGACTCAATTTTATCATAAATCTTGCAATAATTACTAGATACATGTACTACGAAATTCTAAAAGGACTTCTTGAAAAACTAAGAAACAATTTTTGAAGACTAAACATTGATGCATTAATTCCAACAGAGCCATTATATGTGCAACACTCAGATACACCAGGTACCTCTCTTGTTTCTCAATTGCTAATTAAAACTAAAAACTACACTGAGGAAGATATCTATGTTGATGTCATCGTTGGTAAAGAAACAAAGTAGGAATTATTGATGACACTTGTAAAAGAGAAAGTTGTCTACAAGATAGCTTTAAATTGCATGAATGAGATTGATGCAATGCAATTGTTCAATGGTGGATTATGAGTTATATAACTCAAAAATTGAGAAAAAGGATTGTGTATTTGTTCAAAAGGTCTCGAAAACATTTAAAAAGAGATTTACAAAATAAATGTATCCAAAGTTTTTCGATTAACCAGAAAATTTTAAGTATTATTATCTATTTCTCCAAATTGAACGATATATGGGATGAATTTGTAACGAACCAGCAGGACAGACTGGACAATCCCAGGTGCAGTTCCAGGGACAAACAAGTGCCAAAATATGTGGATTACTATGTGGTTCCAGACTCCGAAGGTGAAATCAACTCTGCCAAAATCCTTAGCCACTGGATAAGGATTACAGAAGTTGTAGGCCTTATAAATAGCAGAAGAACTCACCAAGAAAGAGCATGAAAAACATGTGTTGGAATTCTGACCCCCAAATTCGTCCAAGGAACAATTATATTTATTTGTTCCTTTGCAGATTACAACAGTTACTTTTTGTGAAGCAAATAACACAAGATTTTATCACGGAAAATCCCAACTCATAAGGGTAAAAACCAAAGCCTACACCTCTATAGGATTTAACTCCACTTTATTAAACTTTAAGTCTCAACAAAAGATTATAAAACTATGTAATCTAAGGAATTATAAACTCTAATTTCTAAAAAAATTATAAACTCTAATTCCTAGC